ATGCGAAAAGGAAGCGCGACAAGAAAAAGGAGGCAAGTGTTATTTTCCTTTCATCGGGTGAAATACAACTTCTCGTCATTTCCTCTATTCTTTCCACCCACGGTTAGAAAAAATTGTTTCCTTGTTAACAACTATCCAGTGGCAAATGTGAAATTAAAAATGCTGAGCTGCAATCTGTCCTAGTATGACATGCTAGAATTAGTCTACTCGATGTTTTTTTTGGGATGGTGGTTTAAATTTGCTTTATTTGGCTTGCTAGATTGTGAATTATGACTGAATTCTTCTTCATGCAGACAGCTGGTACACAAGGGCGAGGGGGCCAGAGCACTCGAGGGAACTATTATTCATCATCTGTTAAAGGTATTAATTCCTTTTACTTCTGTTTTATACATCAATCTATCGATTTAACCTATATATTTTTTATTTGTAAGTTGTTAATTTGACAAGCCTTGTTCTCTTAAGATGTTGGAGGTGGAAGGAATTCATTTGCAAGAAGGGAGAATGGGGTTAATCATTCTGCAGATAGAGGTTCTATACCTTCCAAAGTATCTCAGAAAGTGAAAAAGAATGCACCACCTCACATGACAAAGTAAATATTCATAATGACATTCTTTGTATCTAAGCATGATTTTTATGACCTTTTAATTTGTTAATTCTATAGTACTTTTGTATCTCATATAAAATCTTTCTCCTTTGAAGAACTCCGACTGCCATACCCAATGGCACTACTAGTTTACCAAACGGGAGCTCCAGTCATGGACTTGGACTCCAATTATCAGTTGATGGTATTGTTAGTGAAACTAAAGGTGGCTTACCTGTAAACAAAACAACTACTATTTCAGCGCAAACAGTTGTCAGAGAACCTCCTGCCTCCATTCCTGCTCAGTCCTTTAGCTCTGTTATCAAAGGTCAAGAGAAGTCTGCTTCAAATTTGAACGCCCTATCAACTTCTTCCACTTCAACTCCGTCGGTTGTCAGTTCATCTGCTTATGAACCTGGAATGGCATCAACTGTCTCACAGCATGCTGGTGCCCTGGATACAATAAAGCGTGAAGCTGGAAGCCAACAGGAAGGTACTGAATCAAGCCATATTCAAGTAAACAAACTTGCTCCTTGTGATATTGACGTATCTAAGACTGAGAAAATGGTGACCGAGGTTCCATTCTCAATGAATGGAAAGGAGGAACCCAGAAAATCAAAGATTGCTGAACAGGCTAAGCAGTCTAAGCCGGTAGAGCAAGGTATTACCTCTTCTTTCTGTTCCGTGATACTCTAAAATATTGTGGGATATAGTAGTCAATGTGGTCTTTGTTTTAATTTTTTTGGTCTTTCCTGTTTATCTCCTTTTACTGTGCAATGTTGCCTTTTGTATGTACTTCCATGGGGGCTTCTGTATTTACTCTTTTCTCTTTGACAGTGGGTGGGAATAGTATTCGACTTTTCTGGCTTTGCTTTTATGTTTCCCTGACAATATCCCATTTGAAAAGTTTGTGCAGCCCTTTGCAATTTTCCTGGTATTGCTAGTGGTCTCTACTTTTTTGTCTTGTACCTGTCTTTATTCAAACTTCCATTCTTTTAATTGTTTTTTCTTTCATTTTAACAAATAGAAATAAAAAAATCTATGCGATATGTTGCTAATTTATTCATTTATTGTTTTATTGATCTCCCTGCTTTTGAAGCATCCCTTACCTAGATATGCACATAAATATTGTCTTGCTGTGCTTTTTGGTATTCTTGTTTTAATGTCTATTTGACTTTGCTCTTGTTTTGACACAGTGGTCATATCTGAGGTTGCAACTGTCACTGGAAAGCCGGTTCACATTGCCTGAGGATTCAAATGTCTGCAATGGTCAACATGTTACTTTTCCAACCCACTTCCAAGTTTCTGATGCATTAAAAAATGGGTTAACTTTTGGAAGCTTTGATGCTAGTTTTGGACAAGTATTGAGACACACTAGTGTCACTAATTTGGATATTAACCTGCAAGGCCTGTTGAAACCTCTCAGGGTGTTGATGATACTGCTGGAGAGCCTGCTTCTAGGTTGGTGGATATTAGTTTCTACATTTGTTTGAATTTATATATGTTCGCATATATAATTTTCTGGATCAGCGGTAGAGGGAAGAGTTTGTCTGAGGTTTGAACCTACGAGTTGATGTCAACGAGGACTTAAGCAGCGTAGGTCATTTGCCACTACACCATTGGCTTAGTTAACATAATTTATATTTTTCTGGTGCAATGTTATTCAGACGCCAGAGGTCAAGTCTGTTAGCCAAGGAAAAACCAGACTAGATTCTGTCTAAATTGGTTTGATGCCTGTTAGCCAAGGAAAATAATCATCTTAGATTCTATCTAAGTTGGATTGTTATTTTTTTCCTTATGCCAAAGATGGTTATAGAATTGTTTTTATTTTTTTAATCGGTAAAATTAATTGAGGCATTGGTGGTTCCTGTTGTTTTTGTCATTCCACTGTTCTAAATCAGGAAGAAAATATTTCTGTTCAATCCTCTGGTGGATTACCAAGGAGAATCATGTTTGGATAAAATATGTAGTTATAAATAAACCTGATTTGCTATTGATACACACGCACACACGAGATGCTATAATATTGGGATCTTTAAACAGTATTCCAAGATATATTTTGTTTCTTTATCTTTAAATCTCATTGGGCCTTTATGATTTCTCCACAGCCAAGGTATATTACCAGCTCCTCCTGAGTTTGTGAAAGCGCCTGAATCAGATTGTACTGTTTCATCTGATGCCGACTTGAATGTTGACCAGTCCAATCAAGAAATGCATCTGCACCCGGAGAGTAATCAGAGCATCATTCCAAATGTCCCAAGCTATGGTCTTAGTTTCATGTCAGCATCAGCAACTCACCCTGCACAGTTTGATGGACCTGATGCAAGGACCCATGATGTTTCTCGTCTGACAAACCTCGTTGTAAGCTCTTGCTACTTAATTGTAAGTCATATATGTATTTGGTTTAATTGGTTACCCCTTTGTGTCCCCTCGGTTGGTTATAGTTAAAAAAAATTATTGATAAGTGGCCTTTGTATTTCCGTATTTGGTTCAGTTTCTACTTTAGTCTTATAGTCCATGGTGCTTTAGTAGCATGGAATATGACAAAAAGAATCAGCTATCATAGGTCCCTGCAAACTTCAGATGATAGTCTGTTTTTCCTTTTTTTCATAGTGAAATCAAATGACAGTATGCTTTATACGGTTATAATTACATGCTTCTTACACTTGAGTTGTCAAATTTGTAGAGTGGTAATTCTCCAGCTCCATCTGGCTGTTCAACTCCACCTATTCAGAACTCTGTTGCTGCTGCACCACAAACCGTTCATCTTTTTCGGCAGCCATTTCCACCTAATTACTTCCCTTATCCCCACTATCTTTCACCTTTTTATATGCATCCTATGCACCAATTTCTAAGCCCCACTGGACTTCCTCTGCAACCTTTAACCGGCAACGTATACATGCCACCTGGAAACTCCACCTGGGGTCAAATTCCCTCTACCACAGATCAAGCCTGGAACTAATGCAGGAAATCCTGCTCATCTTGCAATTCCATCCGGTTATGGTCGATTGGCTTCTCCTCCTATTGGTTTCAATATACCCGTTCCATCTGTGACTTCCGGAAGCTCTAGCAGCAAGGAGAATATTGCAGCGTTGCAATTAAAGGAACATCATATATACACAACTGGACCACTGGTCGGTTTTGCCATCCTTTTCCAACCTTATTTCCATATAATTTGTTTTACCATGAACGATTATATGCATTGTATAAGTGGGGTTAATTTTAAGACAACACGTTTTTTGCAGAATGAAGGTTCAGCTCTTTGGATGCCTGCAGAAGGGCAAGATTTATCCAACTTGCAGGTTAATTCATTATACAACCTTTCCCTTCACAGCCAACGCCTTCCTTTCTCTCCTTCACAGGCTGGTCATGGTGCCTTTGCGGGACTTTATCAATCGCCACCACAAACAATGGCTCCTCCATCCAACATTAACACCCTACTACAGCAGTCTCAATCCATGGCAGCAGCTGTGGGAACTGTAGGTCCCCCAACGGGCCCTTATGAGCAGCCTCAACTCGCGCGGGTAAACTGGTAAACTAATTACTGAACCATTAGAAATCTTACGATGATGCTGTCTAGAAGAAATCGATTGAGGAACTTCTCGGAAGGTAAAACACTGGCCTGGCCTACTCGTGGAATGTATATATAAAAGGCATCTCAGACGTATATTAGAGTTAATGTGTGGTGGGGAAAATGTTTGTTGCTGACTTGTCTTTTTGTCCCTGCCATCTCTTTTAGTCTTGTTGTTCTGGGTAGCAAACCTTTTGTTTTTTGTTCAATTGGAACTCTTATTATGCTCATAAGAGAACTCTAATAGGAATTTGAAGAGGTCAACTAGATTAGGTGCATTTTGCCAAATTTTCCTTTTTCTTTCTCTTGATAATGTCTCACTGTATTAAATTTTGAATTGAATTGCGAGGAATTGATATGATATAAAGCCTGTAATTGGTATATGAGGTTATATTTCCGTTTAATTGAAACCACAAGCTACCTTGCTTTTATTCAAGTTTCTTCCTGAACTTGGTGTTTTTGTTCTTGTATGACATCAAGGTGTAGCTGAGTCGAGTCGACTTTGAGGCGTATGAAGCTGGACTTTGTGAACAATTTTCACTTTAAAGCTCTAGATTAGTTTGAGATAAGCCATTGCCGGAATCAGTAGATTTTACGGTCGTGAACTAGAGCTTAACTTTAATGAATATGCAAATTTATACTATCAAGTTCGTTCTAGCATCACTCATAAAAACGAGTTAAATTTACCAAAAAAATTATATGAATGGGATGTTGGAAACAAAAGACTCCTGAACGGTGACAGCAGTCAGGGTCACAGTTATTATTGTTTCACAAACAATATGGTGAATACAAACCTGTGTCTAAATTCAAAGTTCTGAACTCGAATATGATTAAACTAATAACAAAATCACCTTAAGTCGAAATAACAGATTCCAGTGACACCATAGCTTCAATTGTCTCGCAGTTGTTGCTCCAGGTATTTGTTTTCTTTTGCAATGGCATCAAGGTCGGCTTGTAGATGATCTGCATTTAAGCTTTGGGAAGACATGGCAGCGAGTTTTTTTTCAAGATCAGCTGTTTCTCTTCGGATTCTATCGGTTGCGAGAATTTTCTCAGAGATTTGCTCAAAGCTGTCATGGATACTGGTGAGCAGCTTATAAACCTGTCGCCGGTCTGCATCTTTCTTTGCTTCCCTGCACATACACAATTCTTTGTAAGGAAAAAGTTCAATTCAGCTCCATTTAATGCATCGCCTATAGTAAAGCTGCAAAGTCGGAAATGAGGGCTCAAAGAGAGCTGAAGTAGCAGTCAGTACAGACCGGAATACAATTTCATCCAAGACAGCATAGGTGCGATGAAGGCTCTCCTGAATGGAATTGCTTTCTAACTGGAGCGCCCTAGTTTCTCTTAAGATGCGATCTATGTCAAGTCGAGTTTGCCACTATTTTTCGTGATCTCCTTTATTCTCTCAATATAGGACCTGCGAGATGCCACCTTGGGCTGCTTCTTGAGATCAGCGGCAAGTTTCAAGCATTCCTCCTCCCTATAAAGTTACCAAGAAACAATGTCTACATCAAGGAGAAATAATTTAGGGAATGTGCACAGCCAAGTGTATAAATATTTTTGCTACAAAACTATGTTGCTTGCGCTTTAGTGTAAGTGTCATATATATGCATGACACAGGTACAGTCAAAACAGTCACACCTGAACCTGAGGAACATAGGTAGACTCTACAACAGGAAATGGCATGGATTATACCATTTCATCTTCCAGACAAAACTAAAGACAAAATCCTTTGCGATATATATTATTTTATTTTAATAACAACAATGTGCAAAAGATACTAGACATTAGTTCTGATAACATACCTTTTTCTAATTTCAGATGAGGTGAACTGCATTTCTAGCTCGATTTCTCTTAACTTTTGGAGTTTCTCTAGAGCCTCCGGATTGTTTGCATATAAACATTCCTCGAGGTTTCTTTTTTTCTCTTCAATAGGTTTTCGGAAAGCATCCCTGCAAAGGAAAAAAATGAAGCAAAGTTAAAATTGATACTGATGCTAGTATGCTACCGAAACACTGGGCTCTAATTCGATTACACATAGGCAATCTTTCATAGTAATAACTAGTGCAATTTTTTCATGCTCAAACTAAATGATGTCTGTGGAAAGCATGGAAAGATTATTATGAACATTTATAATACCACTGTGACTCCAATTCCAGAATATTATGCTTTTTGGCATCGATCTGCTTCTTAAGTTGCTCCAAGAAAAAATCCATAGGGTGACTTTCATCAAATGCCATATCTGCTGCCACCTTCCACGATCCAAGCTCTTCCTCAAGATGTTGCAGTTGCGAAGTATTTGCTTTCAGTTCCTCCTTCAGCACTTTTTCTTGAGATAGCAAGTTTTCTGCTTCATACTGAATCTGGTAAAACAACGGAGATCAGATACACTCATAGAAGAATGGACATTTTATTGTTCTGAATCCTGTTTAAGAATCTTGAAGCTCAGCTCGGGTTCTGTAATCAAACTACTCGAGCTTACTTGATTAAGCTCATTTACATGGTAGAAAAATGAGCTCCATTCACATGCTAAAACTTGATTATTTGTGCTCGAATTGATATCTTTCAATACTAAGTAGAAATAAAAAAAAACTCCATTAATCACACGATATACTAAGTTGAGCATTAAGATACCTAAATTAAGCTTGCTCAATAGCTTAAACTACTCAAACTTGTGCTCAGCATGACAATAAAATAGTCGAATTCAACTTCTTTTGTGTGGAATCCAAGTAGCTTGAGCAAAGGTGTATTCCTCACATCACTTGTTGTCAATCCCCATATCTAAATTTAAGGCCACTTAATTTTCCTTGTACACTATAACACTGCTGTTATAAACTAGAAAAAGGCAGAACCTCATTGAAAGCCAATATTTAGTTTTTACTCGAAATTTAGTTTGGTCAAATAAATGCACCTTGGAGTTCATCTCTTTGGGAGAAGTTGAAACATGTTCATCATCTTTGTGATCTGCAATTTCTTTATTTCCAGATGCATCGTTTGATTCCACAACTTCAGCATTTGAATCACTAAATAGCTCATTCTGTGGTATATCACACCCCCTAAGGGGGTCATGGATGATGGCCACATCACCAGTCTTGATCTCGGATGATTCTGACAATTCATCTACTCTTAGATCTTGCAAGATAGCTTCAACTTTTTGAAGATTTTGATCAACCTCTTCCTTATCCAGATTCTGAGTAAAAGACTCCAGATCTTGCTCTAAGTTATCCTCCTCCAATTCCTGTCTCAGACCGACATTTATTTTCCCAGAAAATTTTACAGCTTCAGATGAACCGGAAAGCTTCTCCACCAAAAACCTTACCAGCTTATATGAGTCCTCTTCTGATGGATATAAGAACTGCCGTAAGCAACACACATATAATTTGTTCTAAGCATAACTTCAGAATAATAATAAAAACGAAAATCAAAGAAAATTCATGGCAACTTCTCAAAAATTTTATTGAATCTATTGTGCACGAAATAGAGCTACAAACCCGCATTTAGCCAGTGTTCAGATTCATCTGTTTCGAATTTTTCTTTCCATAAAAGAAAAAAAAATTCTACAGAAAATTTCCTTTCTTAAGGGTAAAATTCAATTTCGCAAATCAATCATCCATAAGTTAACATGTTTCATCAAAATCCACCATAGCAATAAGAAATTATCACTGTAAAATCCAAAATATTATAAATTCACCAATAAAACAGTATACTTCCATTTAAATTCATCTCCATATTTCACATGACGATCCTTATTTTTTTTTTCCTTCAAAAAACTGAGAAAAACACTGTACCTTGTGATAGCTCATGTCACCAACATAACCCAGATTCTTAAAAGCCAGTGAGATGTCGGAACAGATCTTGAACTTATCAGCCGTAGAGACATAATCTTCAACTGAATCGGGAAACGATACGTCGTTTTGATCGTCGTCTTCGTTGTTTCCGAGGATATTAAGTGATTGGCAGCAGACGGAAATAAGCGTTGTCGGAGTTAAGTCGTTAAACTCCGAAACGTTCTCCGGGATCGAAACGCCGAAAGTGCTCAAGGATTTTAGCAGAATCTCTTGAGACTCTTCCATTGTTTTTTTGGAAATTTAAGATAAAAATAAAAAGCTTTGAGTAGAGTTGTTTGCTTTAGAAGGATAATGTGAAGAAAATACTAATTATACCCTGTCGTTTTGATGGTGAAACACATTCGGCGTCGTTTAATTTCCTCCATTTAAACCGTTCAAGCAAGCTTAACAAATATTTAACCATAACTATTTGGTCTAACTCCTTTAAATAAGATTGGAGCTTCAAATATCTACGTAAAAAGTTTTTTTAATAGATAATTAAGTTTCTGGAAGATACCCGAAATTTTAATATTAGAAAGTTCTAAATACACTTGATATATAGTCTCATAAATTACGCGCAATGGCAGCCTACACTTTTGGCAAATATTCAGTTCAAAAAGTTTGTAGATGCCATAATCCAAACCAACATCCGTTTGGTTATATCATCAAGCTCGGCATTCAATTTTAAAACTTTATCCAATCCTTTTCCGAAACCAAAATCCGGCCGGTCATGGTATCGATACCAATAACTAATTCCTATATTCCCTAGGACCAGGAATTGCTCACTTAGCGTATCAAGTGTAACATAGTAAAGTGAAATAAGAAGTTACTAGTCTTAAAAAATTTCAGGAAAACACACATCATTTCCATATGCAATAGGAGATATAGGTTTAACTCGCAACATCACATATTCTAGAAAAGATAAGCCATCATCAAATCCGCTAGACGAAATGCAGACTTCGCTAGAAATAAGAACAATAATTTTGCTTCACTATTACTTCATGTATTTCAGCAGGAATTTCCTGTGGAAGTCATTCCTTATGGTATCATTAATGAAGCGCTTTTGAGGCTTGGTTTCACCGCGGGCCTGGTTCTTGAAAACCACATCATCATCCCACCTTAAACCAAACAAAGAAGTTAGCTCGCTTGCAATGTCAGACTTTAGTTAAAAAAACAAAAGAGGGGGAGGTTTTGATTCTGCAAGGTACCTTCTTTTTACACCGAAAGATGTTGGATTATTGAGTAGTGGGTTTCCCAGAAGAAGCTCAGCCTCTTTGGCTTTTAGCCGTTCTTCTTGCTCTAATTTTTCCTGCACAAAAACATTAGGCATTTCTTTTGTTATTGATGAAATATTATAAATGATACACTCTATGGGTGTAAAATCAAGAGGATATCTAACAGCATAGTTCTAAATTTAGTGAAAAACCATGGTATAGAGTTTACTTGACGGAGTTTCTCTTCAGCCTTCTCCTTCCTTATTCGTTCAAGCTCAGCCATAAGAGCTTCTCCATCATCCTCCTCGTCGTCGTCACTTGAGACAAAAATTAAGATCTTTAAAAAATGTAGAGAAACAGCAATATCCAGAAGTTACCAACAATAACAGGGATAATTCTTTTACGGATTTCACACAGAATGAAACTCGTTTTTGCAATTTAGTATTTTATTGACTTCAGAAAGACAGAAATCATGAAACAATATACCATATGTTACACCATGCCCTCTAAACCATCCAAAAGACTTAAAGAATTCTATCATCAGAGAGACGAATTGTGCTAGCATAAAAACAGAGATAGAGGCAGGCAAGTAGAACCTTTCATCGTCATTGTTGACTTCCACATCAGAATCATCAGCATCAACACTGTGTGGAACAATTCGATCTTCAGCCTCCCTTTTTGCCCCTACAGTGACTTACGCAATTAGTGAAGTGCTTTCAGAGCACATTAATTCGAAAACAAATAGGCAAGTTGGCAATTTACCTTCCAAAAGAAGATAGTTCCCCCTCCTATGATCTCTATCATCTACAAAAATATATTCACATATTAAGAACAAAATGATAGGAAATTTATGGCAATATACAAAGAACAGTTGCTCAAATGTTTCTTCTTTACCATTATAGGACCTATGCTTTGATGAGAAATGCCTCCTTTCACGCTCTTCAAGTTCATCATGGAGGTTTCTCTTCTGCAACTCATCCTGGGTGTCCTGCCCATCCTTTCTGCATTCTCACACATGCAAAACAAACCGATAAATAAGCTAATTTATGATACAAGTAGAGCTGCAACACATCTCTAAATGCTTAGAAGTATGATTTTGAATTATGTTGTTCCAACTCTTCATTTTTCCAGAAATACCCGTGTAAAATTTGTGCTACTGCCTAACACGTGTAGATGGGGATATGACCTCCAAAAATCCTACAGATACATGAAGAAACTTGAAATTTTTTGACTATGTGCTATGATAATGAGACACATACTCATATCCGACATGCTCACACCTAAGTATGAGTAACATAGGTTTTGGATACAGAATCTCCAAAATCAACCCTTGCAAATACATCACTCCAACATCATACAGGTAAAATGACAACAAGAGCAGGATAACAGTAAATATATGATGAACAAATAAGATATAATTTCAGCCAGAATCATTACCTTCCATATACATACATACATCATGCATTCAATTAAGAACAGTAGCAAAGCTAACAACATATCAAAAATATGTTTTAATAACCTAAATTTTATTTTTTCCCCTAATGCATATGAAAACAATTATACATTACAGAGAAGTTTAAAAAGAATCACCTAGGCTTTAGAGTAGTATGAGCTGCAACGTCCCTAGAAGAATACTTCTGAGACGGGCCAAAAATGCGAGTACCACCTTGTTCGTTCCCACCTTTGGCAGGTTGCCATGTTGGTCTAGCAGCAGTAGTCATGTTTGCTTCCAAATGTTATCAGCAAACAACCTGAACCTGCCTAACTAAACAGTATTCGCATAACGATAAGTACAAAATAATCCGGGGGGGAGTAACTTCTTGGTATCTGAGAAATGCTAAAATATTCAAAATTCAGAACTAGGAATAAGAAGAAAGAGATAAATTACCTGAAGAATTGGCACGGTATATAAACAAACTTCATCATAGAAGAACAAGTGCAAAAACCCTAATTCATTTGATATTTTGATGCACACTCAATAACCAAAATCTTCCAAATTCAACATATATTCTTATAACAATCAATGAAACATAATCGAGAAAAAAATGTCGGGTATATGAGAAAGAAGCTAAAAAGTTCAAAATTATCAACTCAAAAAAAGAAGAAAGAGCTAAATAACTTGAATAATAGGTTCAATTTAAAAAAAAATTGATCATATACGAAAAGGCGCAAAAGCCCTAACACTTTTCAATCCTATTTTCATCGGCAAACAAACAAAAAAATAAAGGAAAAAAGTTTCAACGATCATATTAAACCCTAAATCAGAAAACAAATTATAGTAAAGTACAATTAGAGTTTTACCTTTGTCTGAACCTCCAACAAATTCGATTGGACGAAGAGAACCCGAGAGAGCTAGAAAAGAGGATCTGTTTCCCACAGGCAAGCCAAATAAAGAATGCAACCGTATTCGGTTTTCGGATCCGAGTTAAGCAAGTTATTGTCGGTTAAACGCGTTTGCTTGACTCGGGTCTAAAATTTGAAGATCAGCCCAATTGAATTTCTTTACTTTAATATTGGACTATGTTTTTTGGGCCTTCTCACTTTTATTTATGCTTAAATAGTTTGTCTATTAATTACATTAGGTTAAAATCTACCCCAAATCCCTGTACTCTTCCTCTTTCTGAAATTTAGTCCTCTTACTTTTACTTATAATAATTTATCGTTTTTAAAATTCTTTAACAAATTTATCGATGTGATTTTAAATAAAAACAAAACAATTTGAAGATCACATGAAAAATAAACTTTGTAACAAACTTAAATTTAAGAAAAAAATTAATAACGTTAATAATTGGATTTGAATTTCTAAATATAAAAGTAGATTGACTAAATACTAAAATAAAAATAAAAAATAATATTTCAAAGATATGAAATATCCTAAAATATATATATATATATATATATGAATGAAAAAGGATAAAGTTTGAATCCCGAACAAAGAGTAACAATATCACTTAATCATTGAAATAATTAAACCATCCACCAATAGAAACTTAGAACACAATTTAATCTCTTACTTAACAAAGAGTAAGAATTGCTTGCTTCGATTTATATTGCATTAATAAATGGTCTAACATTGAAATATTGTGATAAGGTATGTATTATTAGAGCGATTGGACATAAAAAAAATTGTTAAAAATTTAGTCAAACGAGTATTATTTTAATCGGCATTTTTTATTTATTTAAGATTAATTGTATCATACATATTCAAACTATGACTTTCATTTTGAATTGATCCCTAAATTTTTGAAACTTCCAAATTCATCCTCAATTTATGATTCTCATTCTATATTGGTCCTCAAGCTTTTGAAAATTATAATTTCATCCCCATGCTTTTGAGTGATTTTGAGGAGGTTATTGGAACGTTCAAAAGTTTGGGATCAATTTAGAATGAGGGTTATATTTTATGGATGAATTTAGAATGATCAAAAGTTTAGAGATCAATTCAAAACAATGATCATAATTTGGAGACGTATAGTGTAATCAACTCTATATTTAAATACAATTTCTTTAAATTTAAGGATTTGAATCAATCGCATAAATTAAGTATTATATTAAAAATATATATCTACTTTAGGGTTATCGTGTGTGTATATATATAATTAGGATTTTAGAGTTTAATGTACTTTCAAATATTTATTTTATAATTCATTAAAGATTTTTAAAATTATATAAAATGTATTTCATATTTTTTTTTATAAATTTATGATAATTCACTTATCGTATAAAAAATATAAACATAATACAAATATACTTAAATGAGAAACAATTCCCCTCAATGGTTAGAGATATTAAGGGAGATTGCTTTTAATATGTTGTATAAATAATAAATTGATTTTGAAAAGGACTATTCTCCGTCCCTTGAACTCATGGCCGTTATAGGATTCTCATGTTGTTATCAATTGGTCAAATTCACGTTAAAATAAAAGGACCAAAATTTTTAATCCATCTATTTCTTTGTGACAATGTTAATTGAAGATGCTGAACTCCACATATTGTTGAATATATTGCAATTTCCAATCATTTGGAATGAACCACGATTATAAAATATATATTCGTGTCGTATATAGAAAGTTAACCAATAGTGATATAAAATGATTACTTTATATGATCGGAGGTAGAGTCATGAATATAAGTGGTTATAAGCTGATCATAAATTAATATATGATAAAAATATATTTTACTCATAAAATTATGATTTGGCTTTTATAAAATTACCGAGTTATAAATTAATATAATGATAATATTGCATTTTAGGAATAAAACTAAATCCTAATAATAAAATTTTAACTTCACGATATGATTTTATTTAAAAACGAGATGTGAATATTATTAATCATTTTCTAAGTTTATGATACATATTAGTTCGGACCAGGATACTATAAAACATTATAAATCTTTTTACTATTTTAATAATATATAATACTAAAAAGTACTGATTTTATTTTTTTTTTATAAATTTTATTTTTATTCTATATATATTTTTAATTATGTTGGAGACAACAAACAAGTCTCGTTTGTTGTTGACGGATTACCTTTTCTTGTTTTGATGGAGAGACACGACTGATGAAGGAACGATCATTGGTCAGTGTTTTTATGTGAGAGAGAGTTAATTATGGAGGATGAAGGAGACGATATGGGGGTTGTGAGGGTTTCAAGCCTGATTAATCTTGGTTGGGGATACTTATAATGATTATTAGCTGGCAGTGTCAAGCATAAGATCATTATAGCTATTCGTAGGTCAACTAATAAATACACATGGTCGTCAGTCATTGAATTTCGCTCTAATAGGTCATGTGGGTTTGTCAAAGATCTTCGCTATACAATATAATAGATTTAGAGACTTGTGTTCGGAAGGCACCGACGAGCAAAGAATCTGTTTAAATACCTTAGTTAATGAAGATTTGACAGTTTCTACGAGTCTTGTATTACGAAGGTTTAAAAATTACCGAAGATCATCTTCAAAATAACAAACTACATATAACCTCAAGCTTTCCGTACATCTTTTTATAGTGTAGGGTCTAAATGATCCATTTAATAATAGAGGGATCAAGTTGATCCACTTTATATATTACAGGGCCTCCCAAGTACATTTGCCCCAAATAAAACGTGTAAAGTATGTGTTTAAGCATATTTGAGATAACAAATTAAGTGGAAGCATGATCTAAAGATGAAAATTCTCTTGTTCCAACGAGAAAGATTTTGTAGGACAATACAATTCCCATGATCATCCAATCCCAAAATTTAGATATCCCGGGCAGTTTTCATGAGTTAAATTGATTAACATGTTTCCTAACCAAATGAATCATTAGAATTTTGTATAATAATATTTAAAAATATAAATAAATTTAAAATTTTAAAAAATTTTGTAAATTGAAATTCTAACAATTTAAATATCAAACCGCTCATCAATCATCATTCATGCTCAAACTCAAGTTAAACTGAAATTGTATTTAAAAATTGTTTTTTCTTTATTTATTTTTTAAAAAAACGCACCCGATTTACCGGAGAATACGAACCTCATTTGCGCATGAACATGATAATATTGTGTGGGAACGACTTGGTTTGGATTTGGTGGCCACGCCAAAAAGGGTGAAAAATTGCCCGCAACTACTGTACCCGCCATGATTCAAAATATTTTACATGAATATGATATGATTGAATATATTATGAAAACAAAAATCTGTTTTCCACATTGATAATTAAAGCTTTAAATTAAGATTAACTCAAAGTTGAAAATACAAGAATCAAAAACTCTTTTGCCTTTATAAGGAAAAGGAAGAAGATTTATAGTTCAAGAAGCAGTGCTTTGCTTTTCTTACAGAAGACACGAGAACCCTCAGGGAAGTTAGGCCAAAGGTTAGCTTTCCTCCTGGTTCGCCTCTTTCTTTTCACTTGGAATCAAAGCAAAAAAAAAATTTCTTTCAGTTGATTCCTGGGTCACCATCTACCCTTTGTATCCTTCTATTTATCTCCTTCAATACCCACCTGAGTTTTCAGTTTTTGTTTATGTTTGTTGCTTTTTCGTGGGGTGAATTCTCTGTAAAAGTGTGGGTCTTTGTTAGTTTTTGAGGTTAGCTTTGCTATCTGGAGATGGGGTTTTTTTATTAGTCTTGATTTGGTGGGTTAAGAGTTTGGCTTGTGACTGCAGATATGCAAGCCTACCTGGTATTTGTTTTATGAACTAGCTCAATATCATATACTGATGATCATCAGTTTCATATGATTTGCTCTAAAGGATTACACCTAATTGTTGGTACCATATAAATTTGGTTTGAGAGTTAGAAATTTGGAACCATGAATACCAGATACTCTTTTCAACCAAATTCAACGTGTAATTCAAGCACACCAGTTCCATTTTCATCAAATCCTCTTGGGGAAGAACATAGGATTGCTTTAGGGCGGAACAGGCTTCATCGTGCCCCGTCTTCTTCGATCTTGTTAAGAACGGCGATGAGGATATCTAGAGCGAGGTGGTTTAACTTCTTGAGAAGAGTTTTTCATTATCAAAATGGACCAAGGTCTGATCTTGGGTCCAACCCTTTTAATTCTAGTACTTGGATGATGCTGGAGTTCTTGGCTTTGGTTATTCAAATAAGCATCATTTCATTCACTTTGGCTATTTCAAAGGAGGAGAGGCCTATTTGGCCTATGAGAATATGGATTGTTGGATATGATATTGGTTGTCTCCTTAGTTTGTTACTTCTTTATGGGAGTTATCATCGTCTTCACCTATCTCAAGCAGATCGTTTTGGCCTTTCCGACATCGAACTACAAAGAACAAATGAAGAATCAAGGTAAGCTTCTTATCACTTGATTCAATCTTCTTGTTATGGTTGCATAACAGAGTGTAAGGTCTAATTTTGGAAAATATCATATTAGCGTTTAAATGGAGTTTTCTGCCAAGATAATGAGTTGATCAATAGAAAATTTGAGACAAATCAAGCATTAGGGAAAGCTTTAAACTTGTTTGTTTGTCTATTAATGGAGATTATAGTATACTCAGGAGCTCACATTTGATGAACAAATTCCGGACTTCACTAGAGCTGTTCTTTGCAATATGGTTTGTAATGGGAAATGTTTGGGTGTTCGATTCTCGATTTCGATCTTTTCATCGAGCTCCGAATCTCCACGTACTTTGTATCTCATTGTTAACTTGGAATGCTCTGAGCTACTCTTTCCCATTCCTGTTGTTCCTTCTCCTATGTTGTTGTGTGCCACTTACCAGCAGCCTCCTAGGTTACAACATGAACATGGGTTCCATCGACAGAGGAGCATCTGATGATCAGATCTCCAGGCTGCCTAGTTGGAGATATAAAGAAATTAACACCAACTTAGAGCTCGATCATGATCCGGACTGCAACACAAGCCGGGCAAACGAAGATCCGGTAAGTCATATATATATATATATATATATACCATAATCCATGCTCAGTTCTAGTTTTTCTTTCATCACAAGGAATGGTTTAAAAGAAAATTAGGTTAATCTTGCAGGCTAATGGGTCTTTTTCTTTGTTTATTGTGGTTGAATTTGAAAAGGAATGTTGCATTTGCCTAGCCAATTATAAAGACAAAGAAGAAGTGAGGCAGTTGCCATGTTCCCACATATTTCACCTCAAGTGTGTGGATCAATGGCTCCGAATTATATCTTGCTGTCCTCTTTGCAAACACGAGCTCTACATATAGAAAAAGAAAGTAAGAAAGATAAACAATATTATATTACTCGGGTTTTGGTACGAGTGTCAAATACAAGTATGTGTCCAACATAGTAATGTTTAATTTTTTAAGAGCTTTCTCGATATCCTCCTACCATATTTAGACATACGTCGGATGGGAACATTTTAAGAAAAATGAAGAGTCGAAACAACATAAGAGATCACAGCAAAATAAGTTATTTTTGGCAATATTTACCAAAGAGTGAGTTATTTGTACAGTGTTCCTCACCAGTAACCAAAAACTTACTGATGTATACTCCGTATGAGAACATTGAAACATATTACCTCTATTTAATTACATTAGCGATTTGATGTCAGCAATTTTATGTATCTGAAAGGGTAGAAATTGAATTTCATGCATATGGTATTTTTTTTTTCTTGAACAATCGATAATTATTCTAATAATAAAACACATTAAATTATAACAACAGTAAAACTAAACCTCACTAAATAATAATAACAATAATCATCATATAGTTTGTTGTAATCATTAGGGGACGTAAATGAATTAAACTTTAACAAATATGAGTATGTTAATATTTGTTTATTTATTTTTGAATGTGTTCATATATGGTCGTGTTCGTTTAAATTTTTAATATCGTGTTTGTGTTTGTTTATTTTTGTAAGGTATTTGTGTTTATTCATTTAGTGTTCATGAATATATTCATTTAAGGTTTGCGAACATGTTATGTTCGTTTAACGTTCGTTTAACCGTTCGTGAACATTTTCATTTGTAAGCTAAAAATGATAAAACTACGGCACTAGTGTTTAAACTCCTTAAGTTTTATAAGTTAAACTCCAAAATTCACCTCCAAATTTCACCATGGGTTCAATTTAATTCATACATTTACTAATATTTAAAATGTAAAAAAAGGTAAATGAGTTTGGTCATGAACATAAACGAATCGAATATACATTTGTCCGTGTTCGTTCGTTTGTTAAATGAACATAAAAATTTTATTCGTACTAGTTTATTTAGCTTAACAAATGAACATAAACGAACGTTATACGAATAGTTCACTAAACGCCTCTGTTCATTTACATCCCTAGTAATCATATAAATTATTATATGTTATATTATTTGAGCTTCGTATGTACAGTGACAAATTATTATTTAATTGTCACATCATCATTTACATGTATATTATCACATCAACATCATATATCGTTATGTCAGTACCATGAATCGTTATGTTAAAACTATTGGTTGTCATATTAATATCATATTGATTAACGTCAATTCTTCATCATGTCATTATTTACACGTGCATAAAATATCATGTCAACATTATAGATCGTTATGTCAATACTATTAAATGTCAACATCATAGGTTGTTATGTCAATATTATTGAATCTCACATCAACATAATAATAATAACGTTAGTATTCTTTCACATCATCATTCACACATAAATTATCGCGTCAATATAATAAATCATCATATCAATATCATGGATATTATGTCACTACTATTAATTATCACACCAACATTAATCAATAATTAAAAAATTAAATGAGTTAAAGAGAGATTAATGCAATTAAAAATATGAGTAAAATTACACATATGAATTTGTTTTAGAAGTAAAATAACACTTTAAATATTTTTCTAAGAAAATCTCTAAAAATAAATAAAATATATTTAAAAATTAATTAATTAAACTTATAAATTTATCTTCAGTTAATTATTTTAAATTTATTTATTTTTATTTAAACATTTAATATATTCTTCATTTACTTTTATTTATATTTTAAAATTTAAAATTAATTAAGATTAAAATTATTTCATTAATAAATATAACATAAATTTGACTGATTTTACATCTTTTGTTAATATAAATAATAATATTTGATATTAAAATAATTAAAATTGAATCTAACTAATTAAATTTCAAATTACCATGATACCAATAAAGAAGAATTCATCGGTGAATCAATAATACAATACGGCGCCGTGTTGGGTTTCCCTGTCCCGACGAGTGACGAAGCTGCTCTTGACAAAAGAAAAGCAATTTCCCTATCCAAGTATCAGCATCAGATTCCACGTATTATCAAATTTTAGTAAGTATCTAATTATTATTTATTTAATTAATTTATATATACATTTTTATTTTCAATTAATTAATTAAAAATATTATATATATTTTTTCATGTCTGCGTAGATATAACTCATTGAAATCTCCAGCTCTCTCAATCGCCATCTCCATTTTTTTAACTCACTTCCGGTTTCACAGTTTCCCATACTACACCCATTCACTCTCCCCAGGAAAAGGTAATAATTAACATATTTTTGGTTCCATAAATTCATTTGTTCCCTCTGTTTGTTTTCCAAGAAAATTCAGAAGAACGTATTTTGAAATCTTTGTTAGCTTAAAGTAAATAGTTTAATTTATAATTTTCCATGCTTCCGGTAGATCTTGATCAGGTTTGGTTAGTTTGGATCCTGACCATGTTCAATTTTTTTATGAAGATGTATTTTTTAGGTTTGAATTGGGCTTATTGTTATTTTTTCTCTTCTCGATTGGAATTTTCTGTTCGATATATATGCATATCATTCCAAGTTCTGACCGTTGCAATTTCTTGAGAAAACTAAAGCTTAGTGATTTGTGATCAAACTGGACGTATGTGATATTATTTAATTATACGATTACTCTTTTTCTCTCTCTCTCTCGTCGCTCTGTATTTCTTGATTATTGAATTTGCTGTATGCATTGTCTGATTGTATTGATTATATCTAATGAGTGAAAAGAAAACAATACGTAATTTTCCTCAGATATTTCTTGGTTTCATTTGTGCAACAGATACTGTTTTGAGTTGAGGACGCCAAGCATACTTCTTTTCACAAATCGGGCTCGGACTTTTTGGTTTGAAGCATACAGTTATTGGTTGAAATCTCGGTTTCATGTTGCAGTGCTTAGACGGATTGAAGCATTTATTTGCTTCTGTATTGCACTGTTGTGATATTGATTTGTACAAGCAACCGAAAGGTCTCGGGGATCCTGAACTTCTCGCAAGGGAGACAGTTTGTATGTTATCAATTTTCTTTTTCTTTTCTTTTCAAGTTATACTGTGAAGCTTGTATTCTATTGCTAGAACAATAGTGTCTGTGCTTTTGCATAATTTATCATCTTCTTTGGACTTTGCCTACGTTATTTTAGTAATTAATTTTACTGGAATTTGTTGTTTTGCTCACCCTGATGCAGTTAGTGTAAGTGAAATAGAAGCACTGTATGAACTCTTCAAGAAGATAAGCAGTGCAGTGATAGACGATGGGCTGATTAACAAGGTTTCTTTAATTAGTTTTTTGGTACATTTTATTGTGAATCAATACTTTTTGTTATGTTTGTCGAGTTTTTGAACTTGGATGGTCCTTTTAGTATTTGACTTTTGTTTATATTCCATTTGGCAGGAGGAGTTTCAACTGGCCTTATTCAAAACAAACAAAAAGGAGAGCTTGTTTGCTGATCGGGTAATATTTTATCTAATGTTAGTTACTATTTTGTTCCCATTATTGATAAAAGAATTATTGTCAATCTCATCATGCCAGTTATTCGTAGTATTTTAGCACAAATTATCTTGAGCTACTTTCCACGTATTTCTGGTTTCACTACAGGTGTTTGACCTGTTTGATACAAAGCACAATGGAATTCTAGGTTTTGAAGAGTTTGCTCGAGCTCTTTCTGTCTTCCATCCAAATGCTCCTATTGACGATAAGATTGAGTGTATGTGCCCAATATTTTAAGTTGTTTGCAACAAGTCCTCGATTTGCCTATTTGGCCACCGCACTAATCGTGTTAACTTGTTGAATCTAAATACTAGAAATACAATTATGAACTTAAGCATGTCTTCTTCCAGTAACTAAGTGCTTTGTCTTCTCTTAATTGTTATATTTTTTTACTTTGCAGTCTCTTTTCAACTATACGATCTCAAGCAGCAAGGTTACATTGAGAGACAGGAGGTACGTGCTGTGATTTTGATTTGATCATTTTTGTTTTTTCTATTTTTCTCTCATTATATATATTTTTCATTTATAGGTTAAGCAAATGGTAGTGGCTACACTTGCTGAGTCTGGCATGAACCTTTCAGATGATGTTATAGAAAGTATAATTGACAAGGTAATAACTCAATCTGATTTAACTGAAGCTGTATTTCTTGTAATTTTTTCTTCTTCTTGGATCTAGTTTCTACATGTTAAGTTTCGGATCTTTTTGTCAGACTTTTGAGGAAGCTGATACAAAACATGATGGGAGGATTGATAAGGAAGAGTGGCGAAGTCTAGTTTTGCGACATCCATCCCTTCTGAAAAATATGACCCTGCAATACCTCAAGTAAGTTCCGAATTTACTCTGTAGTAAGCAACGTTATCAGCTTTGTTATCGTAAAAGACTTACTGATAGTGATGTGTGCTCAACTTCAACTGTTCTTTGCTTGTTTCGTTGAACAGAGACATCACCACGACATTCCCGAGCTTTGTTTTCCACTCACAAGTCGATGATACCTGAAATCAGCAATTGGGTTAAAGCTTTCATATGGCCTTATTTCATACTAGGCTGTGATGGCAGATTCAAATATAAATTGGAAAAGAGAGTGGGTCTCTGTGATGTTTTGGTTCATTGGTTAATTTTTTTCTTCTTGTGCGCGTCCATATTCAACCATTGAATATTCTGTTGGTTGTTCTTCTTAGTGGTTTTGGTTGATTTCAGATGGTCTTTAATGTAAAAAAGAATTGTGGGGCCATTTGAAAAGAATTTTTCGATTTCTATTCTGGAATATGGAAATATTTGTTTGAAAATGTAAAAGTTGAGTAAGGCAAATAAGCAAATCAGTAGCAGTTTTAGTGAGATTCCAACTTCTTTGTTCAATATCAAAATTGGTTTCTATGATGGGTATTTTTGGGTTTTATTATGTTTGAGAAAGAATATGAGCTCGACTTTTGTCACTTCCAACTAGTTTAGATAACTTGAAATCCGAAACTTTGGCGTTGATATTTTTGAGGCTTGATGTCTAAGTGAATGATCTTTCGGTTGCAATCTTGATGAAGATAGGCTAGTCCCTTGGCTATTCTAATCTGCCAACCGAGAGGTGTTTCTTGGTTTTTGTTGAAAAGATCCATTGATTTATCAATCCATTAGCCATGTACTCGTAAAGTAATATCCTATTGGATTTTTCAGCACAAATCCTATATAGCTTTCCAAATTGTAATGGTGAATACTTCCAATTGTCTGAACCTCAGCCATGAAGGACCTGTTAACCAAACCAAAGCCGACGAGATGCTTCACCACAACTTCAGAAGCCTAAGGTAAGGTCCATGGAAAACAGACCCGAAGCCACCTTCAGCTTGTTGCTAAAATTATTGGTAACGTTCTTCAACTCTTCGTAAGAGAATTTAGTTGGCATTCCCCGGATGCTGTCTAGATAATCTTCCTCAACTTCTTGGATACTTTTCTAAATCTGATGAAAAAAGAGAGCGCAAATAAGGAACAAAGAATACTTAGCTCCAAGAGTCCAGCCCACAATAACTTTTGCATACTGAATTATCATTTGCTTTCGAGTAAAAACGTCTATAACAGAATTGGGAAGGATCTGAACCCATATAAACAGTGGATTCACCATCACCGATTTTCACAAATACATGCAAACCTTTGCTCTGATCGTGTGGCGCTATCTAATGGCTCTCAGTTTCTTGTCCTGACACTAATCTTTGACCACGGACTAAAGTGTCCATCGGGTGGTCGAATGAATGCAAAACAATGTGGTGGTTTTGTCAAGCAGCAAGAGGCTCCCCTCTGTTCTCAAGTTTAACCTCGAGACGGAGTTGCCTACAGTGCCTGCGGACTAAACCTAAGTATCGTTAACAACTTTGCATCTTTCAAGACGAGTTTACCTTTAGAAGTGGGCTCAAACAGTGCCTGATCCTCGACTGGATTGTTGCTATGAGCGGAGTCATACCAGTTGGGCTGGGGGAGGAATCATTCGAAATTGATTATGCACCATACCAGGTGGGTTGGGGGAGGAATCATGCTAAATTGATGATCATTATAACTGGTGTTGAAGGAGAAAAAGTTTGGAGTCGCTGTTTATACAGTGGAAATCACAGATAAACATCCAAACGAATGGAAAGTTGCAATTATTAAAATCAAGAATGATTATGGTATGGTTTTAGGGTCAACCAAAACAGACGAGGTAATGATTAGTAAAATCAAGAGCATGCTATTAAAAAGTTGCAACAGGCGTCAATGATCAGGGCTGCTCTTTTAAGACGCAATGGCTTATACCGCATTACTAAAACATATATTATTGCTCATTACTAATAAAGGAAAAAAACATACAAACTACTCCGGAATTCCCCATTACTAAAACATTAAAGCTAAAAGAGGTCATCAGAATAATATAAAACCATTCATCGTAACATGTTATAATCTTAGTCGACTTCCTCCATCTTGGAGTCCTCGGCATCAACATCATCCAATGGAGGCATCTCAGAATCAACCTCATCATCCCCTGCATCCTCATCAATGCTCAACCCAAGCTTCAACATCCTATGGATTCTGTTTCCAAAGGTGTTTGGGTCATCGAGACTGAACCCGGATGTGAGGATAGAAGTCTCAAATAGCAGAAGAGCAAGGTCTTTCACAGACTTGTCATTCTTATCAGCATCAGCTCTCTTTCTCAGCTCTTCCATGATGGGATTCTCAGGATTGATCTCCATCGTCTTCTTGCTCGACATATATCCAGCCATACTGTTGTCTTTCAAAGCTTGGGCCTTCATGATTCTCTCCATGTTGGCGGTCCAACCATACTCACCTGTTACCAAACAGCAGGGAGAATCAACAACTCGATCGGAGACCACAACTTTCTCAACCTTGTCACCTAGTACATCCTTGATGACCTTGCAAAGACCCTCAAATTTCTCCTTCAATTCTTCCTTCTTTTTCTTCTCATCTTCACTCTCATCAAGTTTAAGACCTTCCTTTGTTGCAGACACAAGCTTTTTGCCCTCAAATTCCTTGAGCTGACCGACAGCATACTCATCGATGGCATCAACCATATAGAGCACCTCATAACCTTTCGTCTTCAACTTCTCAAGGAATGGGGAGTTTTCAACTGCCTTTCTACTCTCACCAGTGATGTAATAGATGTCATTCTGACCCTCCTTCATTCGGGTCACATAGTCCTTCAAGCTGGTCATCTCATCACCACTCTTGGTAGAGTGATATCGGAGCAATTCTGCAATCTTGTTTCTGTTCTGAGAATCCTCATGGATACCAAGTTTGAGGTTCTTGGAGAAGGCCTCATAGAACTTACTGTAATCTTCCTTGTTCTCAGCTATTTCAAAGAAGAGCTCAATGCACTTCTTGACCAGATTCTTTCGGATAACCTTCAAGATCTTGTTCTGCTGCAACATTTCTCTAGAGATGTTTAGAGGAAGATCCTCAGAGTCAACTATACCCTTAACGAAGCCAAGAAACTCGGGAATGAGCTCCTCACAGTTGTCCATAATAAAGACACGCCTAACATAGAGCTTGATGTTGTTGGGTTTCTTCCTCGTATCAAAAAGATCAAATGGTGCCCTCTTTGGAACAAAGAGAATAGCCTTGAACTCCAATTGGCCCTCAATTGAAAAGTGCTTGACAGCCAAATGCTCTTCCCAATCATTTGTAAGGCTTTTGTAGAATGCAGCATATTCTTCCTTGGTAATCTCCTCGGGCTTCCTCATCCAAATCGGCTTTTGCTTGTTCACCAATGACCACTCGTGCGAGACCTCCTTGATCTTCTTCTTTTTCTTCTCTTCCTTCTCCTTTTCCTCGTCAACATCCTCAACCTTCCCTTCCTCATCCTTCTTATCCTCTTCATCCTCATCATCGGAAATCTCCTTCTCAGTCGTCTTCTCAATCCAAAGGGAAATTGGGTAGCTAATGAATTCAGAATGCTTCTTTATCAAGTCCTTCAAACGTCGCTCCTCAAGGTACTCAAGCTGGTCTTCCTTCAAGAAAAGGGTAATTTTAGTACCCCTACCAAGGTTCTCCCCAGAAGTATCCCTTGTGACAGTGAAGGATCCACCGGCTTGAGATTCCCACACATACTGCTCATCATCATTGTGTTTCGTTGTAACAACAACCCTCTCGGCGACCAAGTAAGCCGAGTAGAAACCAACACCAAATTGTCCGATCATGCTAACATCAGCACCGGCAGCCAATGCCTCCATGAATTCCTTGGTCCCAGACCTTGCAATAGTACCGAGATTGTTCACTAAATCTGTAATAACAGAGATAAAATCACATTATCACCCCCTCTTAATTAAAATTCGACATCTAAATGTGCAAGAAACTGAAGCAAAAATGAACTTACCAGCCTTGGTCATGCCAATACCACTATCAATGATGGACAGGGTGTTGCTTATCTTGTCTGGAACAATGTGAATAAAGAGCTCTGGTTGAGCATCAAGTTTGCTCTTGTCTGTCAAGCTCTCAAATCTAATCTTGTCCAAAGCCTAAAGACATTTTTAACAATAATTCAATATTGATAAACATTAAAACCCAGAAAAAATAAACAGAATTATACTATCGAATTGCAGGTTTAATTAAGCTTCAAGAAACAAAGTTTCACCTCATACCTATAAATTCATAACATTAAGAGAAACTATTAACTATTAACAAATAAATCAAACGATAAAAGGGAAAACTTTATTAACAAATGTAATATGCAATCGAAGTGAGCAACCAAAGAACAGAACATTGCATAACTTGAAAACAAACAGAAAAACCATAAATTTCGTTATAATGCAATTAAGTAAACCAAACCCGCAAACTTCAAAGCAAGAGAGATCAGATCCAATAAACCACGCGATAAAATTATAATTAACAAAAACCTCAATAATAAAAACATTTTTTAAAGAAAAAGTTCAGACAGAGAAGGGTAAGGCTTACATCGGAAGCGTTGCTAATGAGCTCACGAAGAAAGATCTCCTTGTTGCTGTAGAAAGTGTTGATAATCAAACTGAGGAGCTGGTTAATCTCAGCTTGGAAAGCAAACGTCTCTGTGTCAGCCATTTATGAATAACTCAAAACCCGATTTTAAGAGCACCCAGAAAGGAAAGACAGCGTAGCCCAGAACAGAGGATTATAATCAGTTTTAGAGTTTAGAACAGAAAGATCAGAATGGCGCCTCCATGACATGGTAACGAGGTTATATAGAAGTAGAACTCTTTAGGGATTCTAGATCCTTCTAATGACCGTTTACTCACCTTCTATTCTTTAAAAATTTGTTTTTCTCTTTCCTTGATCATAGTTATGGCCGATTTTCTAGATCCTTCTTGTTTTTTTCTGAATGAAGCAAAGCTAAAGGATTACAAGATCATACGATCCCTAATTCCAGATCCTTCTTTTTTTTTTTTTGCTTCGCTTTAAACTTTTATTCCGAGAATTCAAGAGTAAATTACTTGGGTAGTCACTTGATTTTCAGTATATTTTCACCTTGTTCACCAAATTTTTAAATATTATATTACAGCAGTCATTGAACTTTTAATTTATTTTCATTATGATTATTTTCGATCCTTAGCTGGCATTTAAAAAAATACATTAAAGTCTTCTTTTTAGAATAAAAAAATAATAAACTTTAAATTAATAACTTTCCCAAAAGCACAAATTATTAATAAATAAAATGATCATCGATCAATTTTAATGGTGAAAAGACTTCATTTGTTTAAAAGATTAACATATTTTTGTTTTAAATTAATCTGAAAATTAACAATAGAAGAAAAAATTTAACTTTCCATTAGATCGTTGTTTCATTTCACACATGTAATCTCATAATATCAATCTTAATATAAATTATATAATTTATTAAATACTTTAATTATGTTTAATATAATAAAATTCAACAATTACACTAATTATTCAAATATATTACATATATATTCATAAATAATTATATTTAAATCTAATTACTTAATTAAGTTATTGTGTGATATTCTAAAGATGCTCTTTTTAATATTTGCTATTTTCCTTTTGAGAAAATCGCCTCAGTGACCAAAAATGCCTTATAATATACGATTTTAACCAACTTTTTTTGGATTTGCCAAAATGACCAACAAAATCGCAACGCGAAATAAAAATCGCAACGCGATCCCCAGAATCGCAAATCAGTTTCCAAAATCGCAACGCGATTCTTGAAAAACGCAATGCGATAGTACAAATTCGCATTGCGATTTTCCAAAATCGCAACGCGAATATGAAAATCGCAACGCGAACACATAAATCGCAACGTGTATCCGTAAATCGCAACGCGTATGGGTAAATCGCAATGCGTATCCGTATATCGCAACGCGTATCCGTAAATCGCAACGATAATACATAAAATCGCAACGCGTATCCGTAAATCGCAACGCGATATTTAAAGCGCCATTATAATCGCTACGCGTATTTTATTTTCAAATTACAAAAACGAATATTAAGACAAAATCCTGTAATCGCAACTCATAACCTAAAACCTAAAATCACAACTCAGTCCCATCTCCATCTCTCACTCTCTACGGCGAAGAAATCCGTCCCCATCTCCGAAGATTTCCGTCCCCATCTCCGGCGAAATCCCTCACAACCATTCACGGTCAGAAATCCCCACAATATTCAGAAATGGAAAATCAACCTCCGAGGGTTAGTTTTTTTAATTATTTTTATTTTGAAATGTTTGCATTATTGTAGGTTTTTCATATTGAAACTGATGATAAGTTTACTGGTCATTTCAATAATAGATTAACCATTTCACTTAGATTTCATTTCGCGTTACGATTCTGTCGTTGCGATTTTCATTTCGCGTTGCTATTCTCTCGTTGCGATTTTCAAGTTAGTATTTGTCTTTGTCTTTGTTCTGTCTTTTGGTTGAAGTAATGCAATCCATTCAAGTTTCAATTTGCAGAAGAGTCGCAACAAGATAAATGAAAATCGCAACGAGAGAATGACTGTCGCAACGAGAGAAATGAAAATCGCAACGAGAGAATCGCAACGCGAAATGAAAATCGCAACGAGAGAATCGCAACGCGAAACCAAAATCGCATTGCGATTTTCATTTCGCGTTGCGATTCTCTCGTTGCGATTTTCATTTCGCGTTGCGATTCTCTCGTTGCGATTGTCATTTCGCGTTTCGATTCTCTCGTTGCGATTTTCATTTCAACCAAAAGACAAAACAGTGTTGCAAATTTTAGTTTCAAGAATAAACTACTACTTTTATGTTATTGTTTTTGGTATATCTTCACAGTGTAGTTTTTGGTATATCTAACTTGGTATGTTTATTGTTTTTGTAGAAATTTTTTTCGGCTCAATTGACCTTGAGAAATAAAGTCAGCCTGGCCACTACAATTGCTTCGAAGCTTTCACCTGCTCAAAGACAATTGTTTGAGGAAACCTGCTTCGGGCCATGGCTGAGAGTACAACATCCGGGTGGAGATGCTAATTTGACCCATTTGTGGCTTCAGACCATGACATCAAATCTACCCGACAGTATACAACGTGGTGAGGAAGAGATATGGTTTCATTTTCCACCAGCGTATACTTGTTTTGGGCGGAAGGAGTTCTGCTTAATCACTGGTCTACGATTCGGACACGATGATGTAGGCCGGTACACTCGTCATATCGCCCGCCCATCATGGTTATCCCGGGTTTTTCCGGATGAGTCAATGGAGAAGCCGAACCTACATGTCGACGACCTGAAGAAATTGTTTAATAAGAAAGCTGGTTTCACTCGGATGGATGACGTCGATGTTGTCCGAGTATGCCTTCTACTACTTGTGTATGCCGGCTTTTTAGGCAGAGAGGCCAGACAACCTATTCATCGGGAGCTAATAATATTGGTAGAGGACCTGAATGCATGGAATCTGTTTCCGTGGGATTCGTATATATGGAAAGCTACCTGGACTAAGTTGTCGTCTGCCTTTGATGACCGCAAAAGTTTGCGGGGCGATGGGTCCAAATACACTTTGTCAGGCTTTGTTTGGGCCTTTAAGGTAAGAATTTCTATATAATGTTTCTAAAATTATAATTAATTATTTAACAATTACTAATTTGTTATTATATTGTTTGTAGATTTGGATATTCGAGGCTTTCCCCAGCATGCGTACATATGCAATAAAAACGTCAAATGATATTCCCAGGGCTATTTCCTGGAAGAGGAAAACTCTGTTGGATTGGGAAGACTTAATACCATATGCGACAATAAATAATGTAAGTTAACACAAATACTTTCATATAATATATAAACAAGTTATTAATAGTAGACGTTTAACTTTGTTGAGTTTTTATATTTTAGGAGGCCAACATTCCATTACAAAGACTGACACCCACGGAGGAAGAGCTTGCCACTGATTGGTGGCAAGCTAGTCAGAGTTTTTTTGATGGCACGGATGATGAGCAGCATCCACTTCCTCCAATTCGAGAGCCATCACCTCACCTAGAGCCATCACCCGATCGACCCGACTATACACCTCTAGAACGAGAGCCATCACCTATCCCGTCACATCATCGAGCCTCTTCTCCACCATCACCTCATGATAGGCGACCGGCAAAGATGCCACGACTCCTATCTCCCTGTTCTCCACCTCCACCTCCACGGGATGAGTCAAGGGAGTTACGTGATGAGGTCAATGTCTTGCGTGAGGAGATCGGTACTCTACGCGATAACGATGGTGCATGGCGTGTGGAGGTGTCAACTTACGTGGTGAGGTTGCCGCTCTACGTGAGATGATAGTATCGTTGCAGAATGAGGTTCATACTCTACGCAACGAGGTAAGTTTAAGATTTTCCATATTTAACTTAATGATAAATTTACTCGTAATTTCACTTAGATTAGCCATTTCACTTAGATTGCTTAGTAAATTTATTCGGTTGCTGCCAATTCTGCTAAACTGTGTATTCTTTAACACTGTGAAATAGTATTTGTCTTTGTTTTGTCTTTTGGTTGAAAGTAAATTTGTTCGGTTGCTGCCAATTCTGCTAAACTGTGTATTCTTTAACACTGTGAAATAGTATTTGTCTTTGTTTTGTCTTTTGGTTGAAAGTAAATTTGTTCGGTTGCTGCCAATTCTGCTAAACTGTGTATTCTTTAACACTGTGAAATAGTATTTGTCTTTGTTTTGTCTTTTGGTTGAAAGTAAATTGTTCGGTTGCTGCCAATTCTGCTAAACTGTGTATTCTTTAACACTGTGAAATAGTATTTGTCTTTGTTTTGTCTTTTGGTTGAAAGTAAATTTGTTCGGTTGCTGCCAATTCTGCTAAACTGTGTATTCTTTAACACTGTGAAATAGTATTTGTCTTTGTTTTGTCTTTTGGTTGAAAGTAAATTTGTTCGGTTGCTGCCAATTCTGCTAAACTGTGTATTCTTTAACACTGTGAAATAGTATTTGTCTTTGTTTTGTCTTTTGGTTGAAAGTAAATTTGTTCGGTTGCTGCCAATTCTGCTAAACTATGTATAGAATAACACTGTGAAATAGTATTTGTCTTTGTTTTGTCTTTTGGTTGAAAGTAAATTTGTTCGGTTGCTGCCAATTCTGCTAAACTGTGTATTCTTTAACACTGTGAAATAGTATTTGTCTTTGTTTTGTCTTTTGGTTGAAAGTAAATTTGTTCGGTTGCTGCCAATTCTGCTAAACTGTGTATTCTTTAACACTGTGAAATAGTATTTGTCTTTGTTTTGTCTTTTGGTTGAAGTAATGCAATCCATTCAAGTTTCAATTTGCAGAAGAAGAAATAGTTTACTTTCGCAACACGAAACTTAAAATCGCAACGCGAAACCAAAATCGCAACGCGAAATGAAAATCGCAACGACAGAATCGCAACGCGAAACCAAAATCGCAACGACAAGATCGCAACGCGAAACCAAAATCGCATTGCGATTTTCATTTCGCGTTGCGATTCTTTCGTTGCGATTTTCATTTCGCATTGCGATTCTGTCGTTGCGTTTTTCATTTCGCGTTGCGATTTTGGTTTCGCGTTGCGATTTTAAGTTTCGTGTTGCGAAAGTAAACTATTTCTTCTTCTGCAAATTGAAACTTGAATGGATTGCATTACTTCAACCAATAGACAAAACAAAGACAAATACTAACTTCAGGGTATTAGTTTGAAACATATTTTTCTTTGTTATCTGATGCATTTTGTGAACTATGATAGAATAATGACTTGGGTGAATACAATGCAAGTTTGAAACATATTTGTCTTTGTTTTCACTGTT